ACTTTGATCGCCCTCCGACACAATCTTGAGAAAATTTGTTGGAGGGTTACTGGGATTGTTTTCTCAACCTTTTTGGGCCAAATTTTTCATGGAAATTTTTTCAAAATGGCAAATTTCCCAAAAATTGAGGACTGGCAAAGTTCCATGAAATTTTTTGCAGACTTAAAAACGTTTTTCTTGAAGAACTTCATGACGGGTATTTAAAAAGTTTCTCCTATTTTGCAAAAATTGAGTAGAGATCCAATGAATCAGCTACAGTGGAATGTCTTCACAAAATCAGAAATGTTTCTCAGGATGAAAAAATTGAAAATAATTTATTTCAGGAGTTAAAAATTTGTCTAAAGCATTATTAATTTTTTTTGCAGACTCAAAAATGTTTTTTTTTTGAAAGACTTCATGGTAAGTATTTAAAAAGTTTCTCCCATTTTGAAAAAATTGAGTAGAGATCCAATCAATCAGCTACAGTGGAATGTTTTCAAAAAAAATCAGAAAGGTTTCTCAGGATGGAAAAAGAAAATTAAAATTAATTATTTCAGCAGGTGAAAATTCGTCTGAAGCGTTATTGGGAGAAAAAAACAAAATTGTATTTTTCGTCAGATAATTGCAACTGCCAATATTGTCTTTGCAAAATTTGAAATAAATATGACAGATGACTTCATTGCTGCTTTTGATAAATTTTTGCATGAGAAAAGAACATTTCTTCCTGGACCATGGGTAGGGGAACACTGTTCTAGATTGAAAAGAATTAGAAACTCATTTCGGATTATTTACTTTTTATTTTTTTATTATTATTATTATTATTTTTTAGATAAACCACAAACCCTGTATGAAAGTGCCAACACGAACCTCGCATAAAAATGGTTACGGGCTTTTTGAGGCTTTGAATGTTTTATTGTGATGCGTTTTCGTTTTTGGCTTTATTTTGGCAATTCATTTTAATTTTTTTTTTTTTTGCAGGTTGTATTTTGGCGGAATTGCACACGGGCATGCCTCTGTTTCCTGGCGAAAACGAGAGCGAGCAGTTGGCGTGCATAATGGAGATTATCGGCCTGCCGCCACCGCACATGATCGCCTCCGCCAGCCGGCGCCGCGTGTTCTTCGGTAATATAGGAGGGACGCCGTTTTCCGTTACTGCTTCTTTTTATTTTTTTGAGGAGGAGGAGGAGGAGGAGGAGGAATGTGAGATCGAGAGAGACGCGATTTTGTTCTTCTTGTGGTTTTTCTTTGTGTACAATATTTACCCTTTTTTTCGAGTACCGTATTTGTATTTGACTTTATTTGATCATCTTCAGAGGATTTGGGATGACATTTTTAAAGTTTTAATATTCTGTATTTAAAATCAATAATATCTTCTGGTCCAATAATTATTGCTTATATTGAGCAGAAAAATGACGCGCATTGGATTTTTAAATAGTATGAAGTACTTTACTGTACTTGTTTTTGTCCTTCCTCGCATATGTTAATGTGTTTTTCTCGAAAATTTGACCCTGATCAGTCAGGGACAGATAACCCTGAATTTGACCCTGATGACATTTTAAAGTTTTAATCTTTTTAAAACATTTTAATCTTTTTAAAATGTGGTTTATCTAAGTTTTAATCTTTTTAAGACCACCATCTTCTGGTCGAATATCAGTGCTTTTCCTTCTTGAGCCAGGGAGACAAGGATTGAATTTGCTAAAGTGCTTTTTTTTTGTTGTCCTATTTCTATTTTTTGGCGCATTTTTTTGTTTGAATTTGACCCTGAACAGTCCATTAATAGGATGCATTTTTGAAGCATCCAGTGCTTTTTTATCAATATTTATTTGCCGTTAATTTATTGTAATTTATGAAGAAAATATTATGTAGAAATTTGCATCTGAAATTACGTTAATATTGTCATTATTTTCCGAATTTATTTAATTTAATACATTAAATGTTGGGAATATGCTATTGCAGTGTACTCTGCTCTTGCGCGGGTAAGTTGTAGTTCGTTCTTGTCTCTATTAGGTCACGTAGATGTCGCCTGAATGATGTTACGTATGTTTCTGATTAAAGCTTCAAGTTATGTTGGTCCATTTTATGTCGGGGGGTTTGCACTTCTGAGAATTATAATGAGGAAAGACTAGATATTATATTTGAATTTGCGTTACAGTTTTGTCATTGAAAATTTGTTTTGTTTTCGTTGACAGATTCCCAATCAAATCCGAGGCAAGTGACGAACAGCAAAGGAAGGAAGCGCATTGTCGGCTCTAGAGATTTGGCCACGGCTGTGAAAACAAGCGACCCGGCATTTGTGGATTTTCTTGTCGGTACTTTGCAGTAAGTTTCGTGTGTCAAATTATGTGGGGTTTTTTTTTAGTGATGGCTGTGTTTTTTTTTCTGAGCAAGCAACATGCTGAAAAAATTCTTGATTATGAAGATTTACTGCTACAATTTTTTGTGTTTTTGTGTGGCCTTCATATACTGACACGATGTAGAATTTTTTTAAATTTATTTTGGGGACTACAGTATTTTTAATGAATGTTTTTCGTAACTAAGAGAATTGAGCAAGAAGTGAATTTGAAAAATATCATCGGTTCCACTTCCCAATAAATTTTTCGTTGTTTTAATCAGGAAATGTATTTTTTAGGTTTTTTTATATAATTTTATGGACAAAAATATTTTTCTCACTTATTGTCAACACATGTTGGGCTGTTTGCAAGAAGTGACTTTAAAAATTGAATCTACAGTAATTTTCAATTATTTTTTTGGTTGTTCTGTCATCAGGACTCTACCAACACTTTTTGAGGTATTCTCATGATTTTGAGGACAAACATTTTTTGCACCGTTCTTTATGCTTGAATTTCTGTAAGAAGCAAATTTATATCAGTTTATTGATTTTATTTTCAAATCAATTTTTGGTTGTTTTGTGTCAGTAACAAATGCTATTGGGAGGTATTGTTGGAATTTGGGGGACAACAATATTTTTCAAATTTATTGTCAACATACTGGGCTGTCTGTAACAAGTGACCATAACTTTTTTTCATTGAATCTGCAGTACTTTTCAAATATTTTTTGGTTGTTCAATCATCAGGACTCTGTCAATAATTTTTGTGGTATTCTTGTGGTTTTGAGAGTGAATATTTTTTTCACATTTGTTGTCTTAACTAGCTTAATTTTTAATATCAGCATAGTTGCTCAGACAATTCTGGCAAATTAAACTGCTTTGACCATTGATGTCAAAGATTTAAGTTGTTTTCCACGTGCTTTTGAAGAATCAAAAATAGACTTCTTTAATTGTGCTTGGATTTCTGGAAGAAGAAAATTTTAATAAATTATTGATTTTATTTTTAAATCAATTTTGGCTTTTTTGTCAGGACTCAACTAATGCTATTGGAGGCATTCTTGGAATTTGGGGGACAACAACATTTTTCACACTTATTGTCAACATACTGGGATGTCTGTAACAAGTGAACTTAAAATTTGTCCTTGAATCTGCATTACTTTTCACATATTTTTTGGGTTTTCTGTCATCAGGACTCTACCAACAATTTTTGAGGTATTCTTTTGGTAAATATGTTCACTGTTCTTTGATTATGCTAGGATTTCTGGAAGAATCAAACTCTACCAAATTATTGATTTTATTTTTAAATCAATTTCTGGGTATTTTGTCAGGACTCCACAATAAAATGCTATTGGGAGGTATTCTTGGAATGAGGGGGACAACAATATTTTTCACAATTGTTAAAATTCTATCTGCAACAAGTGACTTTGAATATTGCCACTGACTCAACAGTACTTCTCAATTATTTTTTTTTTGTCTGTAGTCTTATCAACATTTTTTTAAGGCATTCTTGTGATTTTTGGGACAAAAGTATTCTTTCACCCTTCTTAATCATGCTGGGATTTCTGTTGCAGGCAAATCCTAATATTTGTATTGATTTATTTTTTAATTCCATCAGATGGGATCCTTCGAAACGATTCACCCCCGAAGAAGCCCTGAAGCACGAATTCCTGTCTGGCAGTAGCAGCAGCAACCCGACGAGCGTGAAAACCCGCAGCCCGCAGGACCCATTCTCAATTATGATGACGACGACGACGAGCAGCAACAGCAGCAGTGATGGGCATCAACACGGGAACATGAGCAGCACCCATCATCACCAGTCCAACGGGAACGGGTTCGGAAACGGTACCAGTAACGCTAATAATACTACTGCTAGTTACAGTAGCGGTAGTCGGGCCACGAAACTCAGCCACCGGTTCAGCTTTTGCGTCAACGACCGGCGCCCGATGACGGACTTTGCGGCGGAACGGGGCTCGTTGTCTGTGCGGCGCCACTCGAGAGTCATTGAAACTGAGCCTGCGATTTGCTGATGATGCTGCTGCTGTTTGCTGAGGAAAACGTCTCTGTCCATGTAATTTTGCCTCGGAAGAAAATAAGTCTTTCCCCCTGTTTTTGTGTGTGTGTGTGTGTGTGTGTGTGTGTCTGTACTGTAGGGGTATTTACTGCGAGATGATCTGCGTCGTCCATTTGCGTGCTGTCCGAGGGTTGTCCCAAGATTTGAGCGCGACGTTGGTAAATTTCAAAGATAGGTTTGACTTCTAAAGAAAAAATTATGACATAGCCAGTGACGTTCTAAGGGTCTTGAGGTTTTTTTTTTCTTCTGATGGCTTCTTCCAAAAATACAAGCATAATCAATTAAAGAACAGTGAAAAATTTTTCAATGATTTGACTAACACAAATGTTAAGGATTTGCCTGCAACAGAAATCCCAGCATGATTAAGAAGGGGGAAAGAATATTTTTGTCCCAAAAATCAAAAGAATGCATAAAACAAATGTTGATAGACTACAGACAAAACAAAACAAATAATTGAGAAGTATTGTAGAGTCAGTGGCATAATATTCAAAGTCACTTAATGCAAATAGAATTTTCACAAGTGTGAAATATATTGTTGTCCCCCTCATTCCTATAATACCTCCAATAGCATTTGTAGAGTCCTGACAAAATAACCAAAAATTGATTAAAAAATAAAATCAATATTTTTTTAGAATTTGATTCTTCCAGAAATCCAAGCATAATCAAAGAACAGTGAAAAAACATATTTACCCCAAAACCACAAGAATACCTCAAAAATTGTTGGTAGAGTCCTGATGACAGAAAACCCAAAAAATATGTGAAAAGTACTGCAGATTCAATGAAAAATTTTAAGGTCACTTGTTACAGACAGCCCAGCATGTTGACAATAAGTTTGAAAAATATTGTTGTCCCCCAAATTCCAACAATACCTCCCAATAGCATTTGTTGAGTACTGACACAAAACAACCAAAAATTGATTTGAAAATAAAATCCATAAACTGCTAGAATTTGCTTCTTCCAGAAATCCAAGCATAATCAAAGAACAGTGAAAAAAATATTTGTCACCAAAACCACAAGAATACCTGAAAAATGTTTTGTTGAGTCCTGATGACAGAAAACCCAAAAAATATGTGAAAAGTACTGCAGATTCAATGACAAATTTTAAGGTCACTTGT